CGGCCGGGGGCGGGATTTAGCGCGCGGCCAGCCGGTTTCCCCCTCCCTCCGTGCCGCGGCCCCCGCCCCGCCCCCTGCCCCGAGGCCCCGCCCCCAGATGGGCCGGGCCCCGCCTCTCCCTCCCGAGAGGGCGGGGACCAGGCGGCGGCTGCAGCCGCAGGAATATGCTGGAAGCCGGCGTGCGAGCACCCGGGAGGTGCTGAAGGGACAGTTCCCGCCGCCGAACTTGGCCCGTGGGTGGGGCGGCCGGCAGCCCACGGGGCACGTGAGCGATGGAGACCATCTGGATCTACCAGTTCCGCCTCATCGTGATAGGGGACTCCACCGTGGGCAAGTCGTGCCTTCTACACCGCTTCACCCAGGGCCGCTTCCCCGGGCTGCGCTCCCCCGCCTGCGATCCCACCGTCGGCGTGGACTTCTTCTCCCGCCTCCTGGAGATCGAACCGGGCAAGAGGATCAAGCTGCAGCTCTGGGACACAGCGGGACAGGAGCGGTTCAGGTAGGGCCGCCGCGCCCGGACCTCGGGGACTGCGCCACCCCCTCCGCCCGCCCGGGCACCCCTTCCCCTAGCGCCCGCCCCACCGGCCCTGGCCAGGAGAAGCCCCGGCCCTTCTCTCTCGAAATTGCATATATTCCATTCTCGCTTCCCCTTTGCCCCTCCTCTTCCAGGGACGACTTCCTCCTCCGCAATTGTTCACTTCTTTCTTTGGCGCCCATTTCCTGCACCCCCTTTCCGTCTTTCCTTTCCCGCCTCAACCAGGGTCACCCTCGCCGCCCCCCTCTTCCCCAGCTCTTTCTGCCCCTGCTGGTATTTTGATCCCCTTCGCCTCCCCCGCTGCCTTCTCCCCAAACTCGGCTTCCCTCGCTGCACACACACTGACCCTGTTAGGTTCAGCTGCAAGCGCCCCCTTTCCTGCCCTAACCAAGCTCCCCTCTATGTGGCCCGGGAGAACTGCGAAGTAGGGTTCCCAGAATCGTGATTGATCCTTTAGCTTCACTGCAAGCAATGCTCCAACCCAGGTTACAGCATGAGCTCACTGGGATGGTTCACAGGCAGATGGATGCGGTAATGGTTTGAACAATTTACAGCACCGAATGTGGTCATCAGAAATACTGGGCCATGACCTGTAGGATTGGGTCTTGTAGGGCAACTAGATGCAACATCAGGGACACTGGCAAAGCTGGGCGATTTTGTGTGTGTGTAAGTGTTTTTTTTAAAGGGTTGAGTTGCCTTTAGAAGTTTGTCATCATCGGTGCTTTGGTGGGAAAAAGATAGATATTGAGATTTGCCGTAACTTTTCCTTTATTTTACTTATGGTCTGTACATAACGTTCCGGAGTGATAATAGCATGGAAAATACATTTCTAAATAGAGGAGGGATCCAAATGAATAGTCTCATTCTAAATATCCACTAGGAGTTCACAAAGGCGACTCATTATGTAAATAAAAAGTAAACGAGATTGTGTGCATTTCCTGGATATTTGAGATTGAACCAGATTTAAAGCACATTTTAAATTTCTAGGATTCAAGGACACTTTTAGAGGAAGGCAGGGAAGCTGATATTTTGTAGCATTTTGTTTCTTAAAGATGGCATTGTAAATTGAGACTCATTTAAGCAAGTATTTTGCATTGGTCAGCAAGTATCTGGTTGTGAAATACAGTACTCCACCAGGGGACTTACCAAACAGGGCTTTTCCTAGCCCCCAGCCAGCATCCATTCCGAATGAGATCAACCTGCATCCGTGAAAATGGTCCAACAGTCAAAGTTTTGGCTTCCATTCCCAGATATGACACTGAATCAGAGAGATAAGTGAACTGCTTAGCTTGTGTATGTTTTAGTTTTCCTGTGTGTATAGTGGAAATTACAGTAAGGCCAGCCCTTCAGAGAGGTGTTAAAGGTTACTGATTTGATTTGTACTATATTTAGAATTAAATGAACCAATTTTTTTCTTTTTCGAGAAGCCTCCTTTAATTAAAATAATTTTTCAGGGGCTGGCCGGTTAGCTCAGTTGGTTTGAGTGTGGTGTTAATAACATCAAGGTCCAGGGTTCCATTCCTGTTACCGGCAAGTTGCCAAAAAAATTTATTTTAATAAAAAATGTAAATAAAATAATTTTTCAAACGTCTGATTCCTCATCTGTAAAATGAAGGAGTCACTATGATTGCTAAGATTCCTTTCTAAGGCTAATTGCAAATTCCTTCACTTCTGATCTCAATCAGAGATGAGCATTCAGATATTTCAGCCAGAAAAAAAGCATATACTAATGGCTCTTTACCCTCTAAAGTGGATACAATAAAACCATGTTCTTTATCTCTTAAACTTCTAGCAACTACTTAAAATTGCTACTAAGGAAACAAAGGTAGTAAAATATTTTTGTGTCTAATTATTTCCTTAAAAATAGCTCCTCAACTTATTGACAAGAAAATAAAAAATAATTAATATGTTAGATTTTAAAGACCTTTCTGCTAAATAGACAATTGTTTTTTAATGCCTGTAAGAAAAATGTAAATAGTAATTTATTTTATATACATTATTAAAACCAGACAGTATCTCTCTCATAATAATGCAAGGGCATCTAGGGAATGTTTACTGACAATGAGTCATACTTTATTTTGTTTGGCTCTTTACCAAGGATACATTCATAAACATAGACATATTTCAGTAGCTACCTCCAAATACTTGCTTTTCTCTCATTTAGCAGAATGTTTCACCATAAAATTGCTTTTGAAATGACTACTGTTCAATCATTCTGTATTTTTCTTGAAGAAAATACAGATATGTGGGGCTGGCTGGTTAGCTCACTCGGTAGAGCACGGTGCTAATAACGCCAGGGTCAAGGGTTTGGATCCCCACACTGGTCAGCTGCCAAAAAGAAAGAAAGAAAGAAAATATAGGGTACTTATTTTGAATAATAGATATTCTTGCACATTTTGTTTCACTGCAAGGTACTATAGGTCATGAAGATATATTCCTATCATTAGTCATAATCATACCATGAGGAATTTGTGGGAAATGTCATATTTGGAGGTTTATTGGTGATTAGACATAAACTAAAAAAAGGAACCTACTTTAGACAGCTCGTAAGTTATCTTGAAAGCATAAACAAATATGTTACAGAGCAATAACATAGTAAGATGAAAATTATGATCATGATTAGCCTTAGTTTTCATTTGTTCGGATTAACATTGATAGTAGATGATAACTACTTGCATAAAATAAAAAAGAACAAAATCAAAGTGAAAATGTTTTTTAAAAATAGTGTATATGTGAGTATACTATAAACTAATACAGCACTCAGAAGTTAAGTTTTTATTATTAACACTACGTAGTGGGTTGAATTATGCCCCCCGAACACTCAACTGGAGCTTGAATTATGTCCCCCAAGTTCTATGTATTAGAAACTTAGCCCCCACTGTGACTGTTAAAAAGGTGGGAAATCCTATTATGGTAATTGAAAGGTGGAGCCTTGAAGAGGTGATTGGGTTGTAGGACCCTGCAGTAGTGAATGGATTAAAAATGGTGGTCATGGGCATGGTTCTGAGGGCTTTAAAAGGAGAGGAGAGTCTGTCTTTCTCTTTCTGCTCTCTGTTTCCACCATCTTGCAATGTACCACCACATGGACTTTGGACTTCCCAGCCTCAGAAACTGTAAGCAATAAATGTCATTTTTCTTTATAAATCACCTAGTCTCAGGTACTCTGTTATAGCAACAAAAACAGACTAATACAGAAAATTGGTACCAGAGAAGTGGGGTGTTGTTTATAATAAGCACTTGCAAATGTGGGTGTGGCTTTGAAACTTGGCGTTAGGCGAAGGTTGGAGGAGTTTGGAGGATTCAGAAGAAGACAAAAAGACAAGGGAAAGTTTGGACTGTCTTAGAGACTGGTTACATGGTGGCAAGCAGAATGCTGATAGAAATATGCACTGTAAACACCATTCTAAGGAGGTCTCAGATAGAAATAAGAAGGAATTTATTGGAAACTGGGGCAAAGATCATCCTTGCTATGAACTGGCAAGGAAATTGGCTGCATTCTGTCCATGCCCTAGGACTCTGTGGAAGTTGGAACATAGGAGTTGTGAATCAGAATGTTTGGCAGAAGAAATTTCTAAGCAGCAAAGCATTAAGGAAACTGCACAGCTACTTGCAACAGCCTATGCTGAGTTATGGTGGCGAAGGCATGACATAAAGCTAGAATTTAAAAGAGAAGCAGAGTGTAAAGATTTGGAAAATTTGCAGCCTGGCCATGTGGTAGAGAAGCAGAGAGCATTTTCAGAGGAAAAATCCAATGGCGCTAAGAATATTAGTACAAAGGAAAGGGATTATCAAGAGAAGAGGGGAAAGGCCTTGAAGGCATTGCAGAAACCTCTGGGGTCAACCCTTCCATTTCAGGCCCAAAGGCCTAGGGAGGCAGAATGGTCTTGAGGAACAGGTCTGAGGCACCCTCAAAAAGCTCATTGCTCAGGGCCACCTCAGGAAGCTGCTTCTAGCATCGGCATCCCAGCAGCTTTGGCTGCTCCAACCGTGGCTAAATTGGCCCTAGGTGTGGCTAGACATGCAGCTTTGGAAATATAAGCCAGAAGCCTTGGTGGCATCCACGTGGTGTTAGGTCTGCAGGCTCACAGAATGCCAGAACTGTGGAGGCTTGGGATCCTCCACCCAGATTTCAAAGGATGTATGGAAAAGTTTGGGGGCCCCGGAAGAGATCTGTCGCAGGGGTGGATTCACCACATACAGCCTTTGCTGGAGCAATGCCAAGTGGAAACGTGGGGTCAGAGTTTCAGCAGAGAAACCCCACCAGCACCATGTCTAGTGGAGCTGTGAGAGCGGGACCGCCATGGAGACCCCAGACTTGTGGAGCTACCAGCATGCAACACCAGCCTGTGAGAGCTAAAGCATCACCTGGGACCAGGAAAGTCATAGAAGTGGAGCTGCCAGAGGACTTGGGGACCCAACCTCCATACCAGAATGCAGAGGACATTGAACATGGAGTCAAGGTACATGATTCGCCATCTTTGAGATTTAATGCCTGTCCTGCTGGGTTTCGGACTTGTTTGGGACCTGTTTCTCCTTTCTTTTGGTCTATTTTCCCTTTTGGAATGGGAATGTGTACCCTACATTTGTCCCACCGTTGTATCTTGGAAGTAGATAACATGCGTTGATTTCACAGATGGGACTTTGAACTTCGGACTCTTGAGTTGAAACAAGTTAAGACTTTGGGGATGAAATTAATGTATTTGTATGTGAAAAGACATGAATTTTGCGGGGTCAGGGGCAGAATCTAATGATTTAAGTTATGTCCCCCTAGAACTCATTGGAGCTTGAACTGTGTTCCCCTAGTTTTATGTATTAGAAACTTAGCCCCCACTGTGACTGTTAAGAGGGTGGGAAATCCTATTATGGTAATTGAAAGGTGGAGCCTTGAAGAGGTGATTGGGTCGTAGGACCCTGCAGTAGTGAATGGATTAAAAATGGTGGTCATGGGCATGGTTCTGAGGGCT